GCCAACCGATGTCAGTGGCGTTCTTGTTGTCATTTTCTATCCAGATTGCCTGAGTGAATGTCTGGAGGTGTGGGCACCTCGGAATTATTGTGTTAAGCTAGCACTAAGTCCCTTCCCCGTCCACCTTTATTCTTTTCTTTACAATAAGGCTTTCAAATAAGTCATGGTTGTACGGCAGTGAAGCATCGGTGTTGAACACTGATGTCATGCTGTTGATGATGATGATGATGTGACATTTGGTAATCAGTCCACGATTTGATGTTGAATGCTCAGTTGTTAGAGCCGTGGTTCGAACCCGACCTCTGCCTATCGACTTCCCTCTCTTGGCTTGGGCAACCTGGCAGTATCCCAGCCCTCGTGCTTCCTTCTGGTGGCATGACAGTTAGGCACCGAGAGGGTACTACTGCTGAATGTTCTTTTGCATACGTATGCCACATCTTTTTTTGGCGAGACCTGTTCACCTGCTTCGTGTACTTCTTGCGTCCGTCTGCAGGATCCGTTCGGACAGCGTTCCTGGACAGCATGTGGCAATTTTTGGAGACTTCAATTTCCGTTTGAATTTACCTGCGCTTCTGGAGGTATAATCTTGATTGCATTTCATTTCACTCTGTTGCTTTCCTTTGGCTGCCTTCACCTCAATATTTGATGTATTTCTATGGTTTGAACTACAACCAGTAATAATATTTTACGTGTGGATGCCCCACTGCGCGCTTCTCGTGATTTAATCCGTGTTTTCTTGAACTATGACGAGGTAGACACATCCAACCGTCGAACCCTCAAAATGCCATAGTCCTCAGCAGCATTTACCCCCGTAAGGGTTCCCGTTAACATTCATTTTCAGTATATCTGAGGGAAACTGTAATGGCAATGTTGTGGAATGTAGGTAGCTCGGGTGTGCTGCTTGGTTGTTGGTCTGTTCGCCGAGCTTGGCAGTTGGATTGCAAACGTTTCATCACCAATCGAGGTGACATCGTCAGTGCAGGGTTGAGTGGGTGAATTCCTCCTCTTCTGCCTGTGATTATGTAGCATCTAAACAGTAACTGGTAGTTCTAAAAGTGGTCTTCGCATAGTCTGATTGGCCTCCTGTGAATCTGACGTGGTCTCACTCTCCTGTGTCTGGTTGGTTCGTTGGGCGCATTCAGTTCGGCAGTTCTGTGTGTGCTTTTCTAGTGCTCCCCGTCCAAATGAGTCAAATCTTCCCGCTAAGTGCCTCTCACCTCATGGTGTGTTTGTTTGTTTTTTTACCCACCACGCTGTTCTTTGTAGCGTTCCGTTCGAACTACGCACGGCTCAGTCTGTAATTGTTGATTGCTTGTTGGGAAGCCTAGTATGGTTATATACTATGTTACTGGTGATTAACGACCTCTAATACAGCGCACAGGCCAGTTTAAAAGGATGACCCATCGTCGTTAAGTTGAGAAGGACGGTTGCACATGACACGCGAGAGAGGTAATGCGGAATTCAATTCAATGATTTCCCTGGAGTCGACGGTATCACATTTCTTTCAGCTATAGTTGATAATTGATCCGAATGCCACTACAGTGTGATCGAATTCCATGTCGGTTTTCACAAGGAAGGGCAATAGAGATTATGTGTATGCTAATCGTGTAAACTTCCATCGGAATTCTTCCTGTAATCGATTGTCTTCAAGCTTACCGGTTGCATGACCAAATTTTGAAATGCCAGTTAGGATTGCGTCCTGAAAATGAGGCCAATGTATACCGAAAACGGCGAAGGACCGCACAGCTGTTTAATTTATGTTGGGTCCCGTCTGGATTTCCAGTGCGTTTCGAATCCCGCGACCTCCCAACTAGGAGTTGAACACAATCATTCGGTGGCGGGTGACTGATCAGTATAGGTAGCTCAGAAGTGTGAATAGTTCTCACGACGAGTGGGCCTTTCAACTGAGAAGTCATCACTCGAGTAGCCATTCAACATGTGACCGGGTTGTGTGCATTCCGTGAGTGAAAGGTGAATGGCGCCATATCTGACCCATGTACGAGTTAGTCACACTGCTGAGTAGCCGCTCATAGTGGAACAGTCTCAGATTCATGTCCTAAAACCCGTCACCAAGAGACTGGACCTTACCTTGGTGTGACGGCAGGTCTGCCCCGTGGACCCATTGAGCTATACTAGGTGATATGCGTGCGACACTCATAGTTCCTCATACCATGCGGTGATCAGTAGTTAGAGGTCTGACAAACAGTCCCGTCTTCCTCCAGGTTTCAAGTTGAGACATGTGTGCTAACTTGTTCCATAAAAATAGTAATGCACTCGCATTTCCCGCTAAACATCTCAGCCATGTAGTCAGGCTTTTATCGAGGGACCTAATCGGCGTCCTGACAGTATTGCACCCAACGTACGACCGTGGTACTCCTGGACGGGAGGTGGCGATTCGGAATCTCCATGGAGATGCACAATACTGGTGGTCCCCAATAAACCAGCTGTATGGCACTGTTTGACATTTCTGCACAGATTATACTCAGGTCCTCGGGACAAAACTGTTGACTACGTGGAGCGGCGGTAACGGACGAGTTGTTCCAAACTAGCTTTTTGCATGGTGCTGCGTTGACAACTAACAACATTCAGTTTTCTTGTTTGAGGCTCCACGTTTTCTATTTTGCTTTTTCGAGGATTTCTAGTCGCTCCATTGTTACATCCCATCGAGTTGCAGCTGCGGAAACTTTTGGGGCTAGGATGCTGCCAAATCACTGCCCTCCGTAGATCTCGAGATTAAATGAAAAAAGGCTCTGGCAACAATTGGATTACGCACACGGGTGCGGTCAGCGGGTGCCGCTGTGGTTAGTGGCCATCCATAAAGCACTTACCAATTGTGTCGTAGTTCCGACTGCCGCTGTCTGGGTTGCCAGCGCGGCCGGGAACGCAGCGAATCCACTAGATGGTACCTGTTCGCACTTACAAGTCATGGATGCTTAAGTGTGGAATTCTTTGAAATGGATGATGGGCGCATCCTGTATCACCTAATTTCGATAATAGTTTTTTTTCATGGCGCTGAACTTTCTCATTCCATCCTCTGTATAAAACACTCCCACCCCAAACCCAGTGATTCATGAGATGAATGTTCTCCCAAAGAAGGGATCACGTTGCCGTTCACCATCCACGAATACTTACAGCTTTCTTTTCACTGTGCCATCCGACTATCCTGTGATGTCAGCTATTTCTTCTGAACCCAGACTGGATTGAAATTACGCTAATTTTGTCCGGGCTTTTCTGTATGTCACACAACTTTACTACGAGTCGAAGGTTTTGAAACCAGAAAATGCGTTGTTTATCAAATTCGCAATAAGCGCAGTTGTTTTGTAAGGATTTGTCCTCTGCATATCCCGTGCGATGTTCACTTTGATCTAACTAAACAGCACAAGGATCACTGCTTCTCAGCTGCCAGGACCATAGGTGCTCATGACCATTGTACAGTTTTGCCGTGAAGTTATATCAATTGATGTGCAAGAATGAAGGTAAAAAGTTGATTATACTCTGACGAAGCTCTCGGCCACTTCCTTTTCAAATAGAACCACTCGTGTTTGGGAAACATTGCGGTATTTCTCGTCAATGTTCATCGCGTGGAGGAGTTGAGTCGGGCGGATTAACAGTTGTATCCGAAAATCTCGTCTGCTTAATCTAACCGATTTGATAGGCGCGGTCCAACAAGCTTGATCGCATGGTTTTATGTGCAAGACCCTAGATTTCTACCTTTTTGATTTGCTATCCCCATCGTCGTACTTGTGTGATACGTTGTTCTCTTCTTCACTATGTATGAATGGTTTGAACTAATGAAGCATCTATGTCATGGAGAACAAGCACCACTTTCTCTGGAACTGGTGGAACCCGGTGGGACTACCTCCCTTCATCCGTTGGCCCCTAAGGACTGTGAACCTGACCCGGCGTCTCCAAATGCTAAGACATCCGGTCGGCCACTGATGAATGATCGTGACATTAACCCGACGGTAGTCATTGGACGGCGTGTTTTCGATTTGCATGGGGTACTTGCCGATCATTGGAAATATTCCACTGGTGTAAGTCGAGTTGTTCTGTATTTTTAGTTCCTCATTCCATTAGTTGTAATTTTGCCCGTAGATGTTAACTCAAGATTTGGCTATCTATTCCTTCTGTCTCCTTTCGCATCTAGACCGAGCTCCAAATGTCCTTTACTTAGAACAAATTGTTATCCTCATGTAAGGCTTTTGAGAAGTCACTTTGTTAAGAAGTAAGCGTTTTTGGAACCTGGTCTTTTGGAGTTGGTTGAGTACTTTTTGTTCGTCCCACATCATTGTCAGCTGTAATAACCGCGTATTTGCCGTACAGTGGTTGTAGCTGCCACAGTTTCGTTCACCGATGATTTTATAAGGGTCCCACATCATTGTCAGCTGTAATAACCGGGGTATTAGCGTACAGTGGTTGTAGCTGCCACAGTTTCGTTCACCGATGATTTCATAAGGTGGGTAGTTAGCTCCACATTGGAGGCGGTTTTCGGCTGCAAACGGAGGACAACCGGGCTACTTGCTTTACCCCCCTCGGTGGACCCCTTCCCCGGATGAAAGCTGAACCTTCAGGAGGGGGGCATATGGTAAACCGGGGAGCGTAGTTTGAACCTTGTACGTTGTAAAGTCCAGGCACTTGGAGGAACTTCATTAATTAAGGAGCTCTCAATAGCATCTGGGGTGTCACAGAGAGATTTACAAGCACAAGCACATGAAAGGCACAATCCCTCGCCTCCTATATCCTAACAGTCTATGACTAGTAAACGCCATGTAGCCGGAGCTAAGCTTGGAAAGTCTATACATGGATTGACGTGACATCTAACCACGTTCCAGACTCCGAACGGCGGTCGTGGCCTGTGAAGCACTCACAGAGTTTTACAACGGTTACCATCCAGAAAGCCAATGAGGTGGTACATTCGAAATTCAAAATAGGGGACTGAACGACCGATCAACTAACCAACTTACCAAATCATCACAAGAGAAGGCTTTGGTTCAGACTAAGGACAACCGACAACTATGTCCGCATGCTTGCTAACTCTTACGGAGGTTTGAGCCCACGTGGTGGTCAAATCAAAAAGGAAGATAAAATGACGCTTTAAAGCATGCCAACTACTTTTCGTCACTACACACTGTGAACTGCATAAGGTCCCGGAAATAATCAAGCAAGATATTAGGCAGCAAGTGATTTAAGTAGTACCTTTGTCCAGGCCACCAAAGCCATTTGCATATCCCAGGAATAATAATCGTGCCATATCACTCACAAGCTCGGTTGCAACGCGAGGATATCCGATGGAGGCCACGACGTCAATCATTTATAGAATTCTGACAGTGAACTCACTGCAAGGCATCGGAACATTTGGGCTTTTTCACCTTTCCTAACAGGACCTTGTCGGAAGACTTGAGATGTGAAATACAGCTGATCGGGCGAAATTTATTGGTACCTTGCTCTTGTAGTGTGGTCACGTGAGCGGATCACTTACAATGGAATATCGTTCCTGAAGAAATGCTCACAGTGAACAAGTCATTCAAGGGGATTCAAAAGGGAACATTCCTCCAGTGAGACGGTGAATAGCTTATTGGGACAAGTGAACGGAACAGGGCGAGCTGAAAGCGAAAGGAAATTCTACTTTCGAACTATATGTGTCTCCTGACCGAAATCAGGTCAACCGTAGCGTCGAAGCCCTCCGATAGGCAGCCTAAGGTGTAGAAAGTTAAAACATTTGAACCGCAGGTTTATCAGAACGGTGAGTCTGTAGGAATGCCAGTTTGCGTTTGGAAACGAATTACTCTATACACTCAAAAGTTTTACTGGAACTTTAGGTCTCTTTTTAAGTCCCTATTTCTGAAACGGTATAGGGAATAGTTATCAGGACAGTTTGAAGCCCCCCATGTGGAGTCCAAATCTGGATCATCGAAACGGTAGTCCATGATCCTATTCACCGTACCAACTTAGCGAAAATGTAGATATATTCCCGGCTTCCGAAGTACCTTCAATGACAGTACAGCATATTTTGACCCGGTGAATCTTTTTCCCCAGCCGCTTTGTTTTTTCTCTCAACTCCCACATACTCGTCTCTGCAGTGTGGATCCATTGTCCCTCCATTTTTCAGCTCCTCAGTTTCGATACCGAGGTGGGTGTTTTCGCAGATCAGCTGAAGGAATTACCCATTACGTTTCCTCCCAGGTGAGTGTGAGTTGTTGGTGTCATATTCTTGTCGTGAATGGATGGGACATTTTAGATGCCTTTTCCTATATAACCTATCCACTTAGGCATTTTTCAGGGGAAAGGCGTTAGTAATCTGGTCATCATGGGTCACTGCTTCATGTATGATAACAGGCCGCGAACGCGTGTGTGGACATCAGCTCACCAGACCGCTCTCTCAAGTGTCGAATCTTCCGGAACTTTCAAACTTGGTAGTGTACCAACCGCTGCCACCTTGCAGCTAGGTTTTTGAGTCAAAGGCAGATCTTTGGGCCTTGGAAATATCTCAGACCATGTACAGCCGGGGATTACACATACACAAATGATCTCAATACCTATCGGCTGTCGAATGGTACGTTCAGCGGGGTCCGCCTTACTTGATCCACTCAGAGGGAAACGAAAACATTCTATTGGTGATACTTCCTTTTTTATTTTAAATATTCGCTCTTCACCCCGCCCTCCTCACCCCCTTGCTAGTGATATCTTCATAGGCCGATTCTTAAGGATTGGCGGACCCATTCACCGCCCTTCACCGTTAGCTGGAATATCTACGGTTGACTCGTCCGTCACGACCATTATTCGAACCCCGACTGTGAGTTCATCCGGTAGCATTTAACGTTCACATTCTGAAACAAGCTGAGTAACAGACTACTGCGTGCACCCTGGACTCGTTTTCTACTTATGTCTGATCTCTCTGTCCGACACGAGATTATTGAACTGACCTCCACACCGGTTTCCTGTTAGTCCCAGTTCCGCACTTCTGCTGACCAGATAGCGTTCCTCTATAATACCAACTTCCGAGACAGCGAAAGCTGCTCGGCCACATGGCACCCCCCTCAGATGCGAGTTATTGGTTAACACAGATAGGCCACATCGCTCTTAGCCATAGTTTTTGTTGCTGATGCTCGTTCTGGAACACCTATGTGGATTCGGATCATACGTTTGTTCATTGGTGCTTCTCGTTTCGCTCTCGATTTCTTCCGGTTTCTACGATACATCATGAATGGCTATAGAGCGAACAATGCGTTCTTCTTACCAGCCGCTCAGTCGCTAGAGTTTATTGGTCAATCAGCAATGCATTACGAATTTTACTTTAGATGACTGCAAAACCCAAGAATTCCAGGCGACTGTCCTTTACAGAAATGTGCATGCTCGTGGGTTCCTGTAATGCCTAGGATTCGCGGAGTTTTGCCTCGTACAAAGCGTAACTCTGTACTCTGAATCCTGCATGTCATATTCTCGGAGAACAGCTGGTACAAAAACTAAATGAACTGGTCTGTTATTGAACTACCAATCATGTCATGGTAGCCATGACATGATACTCACAGAAATGATCACCTACAATCTGAGAATCAGAAGAAGAAACCGTCCGAAGTGGTGTCAAATCAAGTTAATATAGTGTTATGTCTTGCTGGACGGTAGTGCAACTCTGTATCGGTCACTTGGCTTCCTGCTCCGCCCACTATGGTATATCAGAAGGCACGGTAGCTTTGCACAGCCCTTTATGGAGACAAAGGGAGAATCATTACATTTGTATCACAGAGCGTTCCATAAGGTAGTGCTAGAAACACCGTGAGGGGACGAGAAGCGTCAAGTCAAAGGTGCTCGACTCGGATTGGCTGACATTCTAACCAATCAGGGCACGTCTAGGCTTGGTTCGTAACCTTCCCGTGACATATCCGTCCAAATGATGTGATGTTCGGTTATTAAGGACGGCTGGCCTCGTGGAATCAAAATCCTAGCAGGTGTAACATGCTAAACTTTGAGTATATTGTAATATGTACTGAAAATATAAGTTTGAGGTGACAAGCGCACGTGAGGTTCTGGTTGGATGTAACTGTAGATAGACGGGTCGAGTTGTCACAAACTACGGGGTGTTGTTGGATGGGGGAGCGGAAATAAATACAGTGGAAAGTGCAATTCATCTGGAAGTCAGTTTGTGGAGCGGAGTAGGGAGATAACATCTTTTCTTTTCAAGTCCGGTAAACCAAGTACGGAAGAACTAGACCATTGAGAGAGGATGCTTGCGATAATAAACTCTATGCTCAGTTCACCAGAAACAGAAAGAAATTTAAAAAGCAACGGCTTCGTACTTTGTCGGAGTAGGAATGTTCACGGATTAACACGTCACCGTGCCCTGAACACCTACTAAGAATGTGCTCGATCTTATCGATAAGTTCTGTCTCACGATGCTGGATCGTAGCTGGCGATAGAAGCTGTTGACCACGAACTGGAATGGGCGAATCCAGAATGGAATCACTCTTGTTCCTCCGAGTTGTAACTAACTTATTACCTGCCGCAGCCATCAATTTACACAGTTTGGTCCATTTATTGCCGCATTGCTTCTCATTTTCGCTCTTCCAAAACACACCTCCTCTTGTGATAGGCCGCTAGAACTAACTGTGGTCGTTCAAGCCTGAATATCACGTGACCAAGTCTTGTGGAACTCAGTTGAGGTTTGACTCACTCATGGTTATATGCTTCGAGGAGTTAGCACAACAACGCATTCACAACACAGTACGGATCTGGATCACAAAAGCTAAAATAGGTGCGTGATTCATGGGGACTATTCGTGGCGACCTGCAGGTCGCAGAGATGATGAGTTGATAGAAGCTTTGTTAGGGGCATCGATTGATCGACTAATTTGACGTAAGTTGTCCGAGTTTGGACCCAGAACGAAACCTATGCAACTCATCATTTGTCATCTCGCATGGATATCTGCAGTCTTCGACACCAACCGCAGTAAAATAGAGCACTGCAGGGGTTATATACTTGTCCGGTATGTTTCTTCTTGCACTCACCATCTAGTTCTAACTCAAAACACTTTGACTGGTCGAGTTAACAAGGGTTTGTTACCGTGACATAGCGTTGTATAGTGGGTGGCCGTCTATTGGCTACGCCTGCACTGAGCCTGCCAGACTACGCGATAGGGAGAAGACAGAGAACTCGGGACACGGCTGTATTGTCAGGACAAAACATACAGAGCATATGCGCAAATATATAGGATGACTAAATGGCCAAATATGGTCGTTCATTTGTTCGCTCCGTACAGCCAGTGGTGGCGTTCCGGTTGTGAACAATTTCAGGTCCACTACGCTGGTCGTATGTTGCTAAGCCGTGTTTGGTGAGACCCGCCAACTCACCTACCTTCCGGAAGTGTCGTACCAATGGTGACCTTGGGGATACATCGCTCTCTGCACATGTGCTTTTTTTCATGTCTGGGCGCGTCCTACCACCTAGGAATGTTTTTTTTTCGTTTTATACTCAAATTGCACTGCCCGCCAATCTTTTTCCATCCGAC